TGGTACTGAAAATCACAATAAAAGCTTATTTGGATTTCTGGTTGTAGAAACAGTTTTGCGACTTGGGTCGAGGAACCGTTGACTTAATTATATAACTAGCCTCTGGAGCATTAGTTCTATGACTGTAGAATGGGAATCTTAATTTCTCTTTCACTCTGCAATATTTAATTAGTGTGCAAGGTCTTCTGGCAGGTTTAATTCCTTAAAATGTGTGGAAGCATTTTAAGGACCTAGGCACTGGGATCCCCATTTCCACTGAGTGCTGCAGTGAAACAGATAACAAGATGTGCCATGTGACAGGGTGCATGGCACAGGGTGCTCTGCAACTATAAAGTTAAAGTCAGTGTCTACTCCAGACAGCTTGCAATCTAAATACCAGTGATTTATTTTAGCAGATGTTTACATAATTCTTATATCAGTGTGAAAATTATCTGTGAAAATATTTAAAACTAAATGTAATTTATTCTTTCAAAGTTCAGTATCTAGTTCCTAAACCTGGAGCTCCAGATGGAGGATTATTTACTAGAAGTGTGTCTGCTACATTATGTGTAGCAGTATATGCTCTTCCTTCCCTTTTAACAGTGCAGGTTACATTCTGAGCATACTTAGTACCAAACATTTTATTTTTCAGTCACCTTGGAAGTCATTTCAAAGAAATGTGTACACTGAAACAAGGTCATGAATTTCCTGTTTTTCTCACAGACCACCTTAATAAATATTTGAATTGATTCTTTATCGTATTAGTTGCTACTGTTGTGTCCTTAATTCAGACTTTTCCATGCACAGCTGTTGTTTAAAAGTACAGAGATCAACAGGATCGAATAGATCAGATCTGTCTGTATTTTGCATGCATAGACCATTTGATTTTATGAGGGGAAGGAACTGATCTAACCTTGTAACTAATAGTTACAGGTTAATTTGCATAATGAGCTGATGGCAAAGCTTTCCTTGTCAACAAGGAAAAGCAATATTGGATTCAAATTAACAAAGTTGTAGAGAAGGATAAATTATAATATACTGATCCTGGGAATTAAGGCAACAAAATATATGTCTGTCTTCCACATGTTGATGTAATTGCTACTGTCTCTGGATTCAGACCTCCTTTGCAAGTCACTTCATGCAGCCAGATGGGAAAGAATTTTCCCCAACTCCCAACATGTGTTCAGGGAAGACCCTCACTCCAGTGAAAACCATGATAACTTCATGGCACAGCCATCTGATATGCTGGTGGAAGGACCCGTGGCTGGGTCACTTCTGACACCAACAGCATCACATGGAATGGGAAGGAAAGTGTAGGAGGTATAGAGTTGCTGCTACATCTTCCAAGATGGGTCAAGAACTTCCTGAGATTTATACCACAAAACTTTTTGCAAGTCAAATTTGTTTGCATGTTACCTACCCTGGGTATACCTCTGCATGTTAGCACCCAGTTATGTATTTCTACCCAAAGATCTTAAAATTACATGGTATATAATTTTAACCATTGAGATCTTTGGTTATGAATAATTCTACAATTACAAAGCAGAAACACAAAGGATGACGAAAATAAGGGATTGAAAAACAGTAACTTTGGAGGGTCATTTTTAATAAGAACATTGGCATGATTTATTAAAAGATGAGGTTTTATAGAGCAAAATACATTTACTTCTAGAGACATTGAGAAAGTGGGGATAGACAAGGTAGCACTGAACATTTATTCTCTTTTTATGCACTTTTCCTTTATTAACTTGGTTATCATATCTTTTTTATTACCAGCTCTGGATTTATTTTTATACTGTTTGGGCCTGATCCAGTATCTTCTTACCAGGAAAGAATATTCTTTGAATAAGGAAAACAGGTTTTTGTACTATTGTTTGTTGATTTTGTCTGCTCATTAGAGTTCACTTTTGTTTGAGCTGTTAACAATCTGTCACTATATCTTCAGAGTCTCCCTGGATTATTCCTTGATAATTGGGAGTCTGTATAATACAACAAATTATAAAAAAAAAGGCATAGGGTATAGCAGAAGGTTGCTCTATAATTTGTTGTAATTGTTACTTTGACTCACATTGTCTATTCTAAACAAATATTATTGCAATTACTGTAAGTCAAGAAATGATAAAAGAAAAAAAAAAGACCCCAAAACATATAGGCTTCAATTTCAAGAGAGTTATTAATAGGAGAACCAGAATTTAACTGCAGCATTAATAAACAGTATCTGGTTCCACGTTTTTAAATCCAGCAAAACTAAAATATATTGTGTGGATGAAACTGAAGTGTATTTAGACTGTTTTATTTTGCTTGGTGCTAGGATAGAACGTGAAACTAAATATATTCATCCATAGATAACTTAAGTTCCTGCTTCTGCTTATATTTCATCATCTGTGAGAAATCTCCTAGGTGATTAAACTAATGCACTGTAAAAGAATGAATCAGTCCTGCAGAGCTCTTCTCTGTACAGAGAATAACTTGCTCAGTTAGGTACTGTTGGGGTTTTACTAAATTAAAATCCTAGGATTTTTTGTACATAATACATTTTATCTGTGAAAACTGAGCAAAATTTTACATGTGACTCTCAAACTAAATTCCTATGGTAATTAATAAAGAAGATTTGAATACCTTTCTGGTAGAGTCATCTTTGATCAATTTAATAACTTGATTTTCTTAACAGAGGAAAACCCTTATCTCTCAAGGCTTGTGGTAACATTGGGATACACCATGAAATTTTTAGAAGAATCAGAGAGTCTGTTCTTTGTCAGGAAAAGATGAATTCAGACTGGAAACTTATCTTTTACTGATTCAGGTGTAACATAGGCTTAGTAATTACTTAATATTTGTATTTCAGTTCCTGTGTGGGCTCCAGTAGATCCCTGAAACTCTTATCTGAAGCATCAAGTCTCCATTGTGTACCAACACATGAAAATATGACCTTCCCTAGAAGCTGAACTCACTGGACCTAGATAAGGCTGCTTACATATCCAGAGCTGGCTGATTTTAACTATTCACTTGTTTACAGATAAACATGAATATTGTTCTTTGTGTGTCTGGCAAAGGTAGGCAAAAATTGTAGTTGGAGGTATTCTCTTTTAACAAATATATGCATGCACTTGCCTTTTTTTTTAGTAGATTTATTTTACTTATGTTACTTATCCCCACTCCTTCTTGGCCTATTTTCTTGTGACTGGTATGGTAAAGGGGAATGACAAGAGCTAAAAAAGAGATAAAGAAATGATCTTATTAGTCAGCACAGAGATGGCATTTCATGAGTGGCATTTTGTGATTGTTGCATGGAATAGAAGTACATAAATATAAATAATAAGATATATATAATAAATTTATGTTTTTCAGAGCGTTCCTTCTGGAACTCCTGGTCTTGAGCTGCAACTTACACTTGTCCACTTCACTCAGTGTAGTTGTGCATAAAGACTATATGAAATTCACTGTAATCTAACAAAAGCATCCTTTTATTATATGGCATAGCATTTATGTGTGCATTCATTGTCATTCTAATACAGTGTTTGATTTTTGACTGTAGTGAACAGAAATAGTTCAGCTTTAATATGGTATATGCTTTTCCAGTTTGTAAAGTTTTCTTTCCAAATTCCATGTAAACATCTTACTGTACTGCACCCACAGTATCTGCACAATATACACACTTCTGTAGATTGCTAAATCATTGTTAAATCTGATTGGAATTAACTGAATTGTGAAAAAAAAATAAAAACTGTATGCACTTATTTGCATTTATAGAATCACAGGATCACATGAATGTTTTGGGTTGGAAGGAACCTGCAACACCACCCAGTTCTAACCCCCTGCCACGGCTGGGGACAGCTTCCACTGACCAGGTTTCTCAAAGCCCTGTCCAACCTGGTCTTGAATACTGCCAGGGATGGAGCAGCTACAGCTTCTCTGGGCAACCTGTGGCAGTGTTTCACCAACCTCACAGTAAGATTTTTTTCCTAATACCAGTAAGAATTTTTTCCTAATACCTCATCTTAATATACCTTTTTTAGTTCAAAGCCATTGCTCCTTGTCCTGGCACTACATGCCCTTGTAAAAAGTCCCTCCACAGATTTCTTGTAGGTCCCTTTTAGATACTGGAAGGCTGCTGTAAGGTCTTCAGAGCCTTCTCTTCTATGGAGTGAACAACCCAAACTCTCTCAGCCTGTCTTCACAGGAGAGGTAGTTCAACCCTCTGATCACCTTTATGGGCCTCCTCTGGACTTGCTTCAACAGGTCCGTGTTCTTACGTTGGGGGCCCTAGAACTGAACACAGTACTCCACATGGGGTCTCATGAGAGCAGAGTAGAGGGGCAGGATCACCTCCCTCGACCTGCTGGTCACGCTCCTTTTGATGCGGCCCAGGATATGGTTGGCTTTCTGGGCTGCAAGCGCACAATGCCAGCTTGCGTTGAGCTTCTTTGTCAACCGACACCCTAAGTCACTCTCCTCAGGGCTGCTCTGAATCTCTTCTCTATCCAGCCTGTAGCTGTGCCTGGGATTGCCCCGACCCAAGTGTAGGACCTTGTACTTGGCTTGGTTGAACTTCATGAGGTTGCTATTGACCCACCTCTCAAGCTTGTCAAGGTCCCTCTGGATGGCATCCCTTCCCTCCAGCGTATCAACTGAACCACACAGCTTTGTGTCATTGGCAAATTTGACGAGGGTGCACTTGATCCCGCTGTCCATGTCACCAACAAAGATGTTGAACAGTGCTGGTCTTAATGCTGATCCCTGAGGAATACCAGTCATCATTTGTCTCCACTTGGAGCTGTTGACTGTAGCTCTCTGAGTGCAACCATCCAGCCAATTCCTTGTCCACCGGGTGGTCCATCCATTAAATCCATGCTGCTCCAATTTAGAGACAAGGATGTCATGCAGAACAGTGTCAGATGCTTTGCATGAGTCCAGAAGATGATGTCGGTTGCTTTTCCCTTACTCTCCAGTGCTGTCACCCTATTATAGAAGGCTACCAAATTTGTCAGGCACGATTGCGCCGACAATTCACTGCCTAAGTGAAGCCATGTTGGTCATCACCAATCACCTCCTTATTCTCTACACACTTTTCCAGGAGGATCTGCTCCATGATCTTGCTGGGCACCAATGTGAGACTTATTGGCTTGTTCCCTGGGTCTCCCTTTTTTCCCTTTTAAAAATTGGGTTATGTTTTCTGTTTTTCAGCCAGTGGGAACTTCACCAGACTCCCATGACTTCTCAAATATGTGGCTGAGCCACTTCATCTGCCAGTTCCTCAGGACTTGAAGATGCATCCCATTTGGTTGCATGGACTTGTGCACCTTATGGAATTCAAGAGGTAAACTTAATTCAGTCATGTCTGTGCCTTTTTATGCTTTCTGTTTGTGAACACTTAAGAACTTGATGCTGAGAATATTCTAGGAATATTGAAGGCTGAAGACTTTATGAAAATGTTTAATATAGTAATAACACAGTACTTTTGTACTGTGGGCCTTTTGTAATAAGGTTTGTGATGGCACTGGGGGATAATGCTTGTCTTTATAAAGAGCTGGTGGATGTTGAACTTGATTTGGAATAGGGCCTTTCTTGCTCAAATTCAGTGTTACACCAGCTGGGGAAGGCTACCATGCTTAGGAAGTAAAGCTGAGAGTTTTCCAAAGGAAAATTACAAAGTGATGTAGATCTATTGTAAATCTACTTGAAATGACCAGTATATTCAGGGAAGGGTTTCTTGTGCAATAGCACTTGGCAGAATAGAAAAGAGGATTGCAGTCTAGAGAAAGGAGTTTATAGCAGCTCAGCATAAAATGCTTTTCTTAGTTATTTTGGAACAGTACATTTAGTCGGCTTTTGACCTGGTGTTCTCCTAAATCAACAGTAAAGGTCAGACATAAACAAGATAATTTTGATGCACTGGTAATTAAGAAGGTATTTTAATTCAGGGCAGTAACTTATCGGAAATGAAGAATGCAAACAGACAGATACAAATAGAGGGGAGAGCCTTTTCTAGGCTACTGCCTAGGAACAACCTTTGAGCTCTGCTCCTGCATAGTACAGTACTTTGTCCACTGTGGAGAGAGGGCTGATTTAGTTTTCTCTTCTGCTTTATTTTCAGTGTAAAGTCACTGCAGAGGTCTCTACTCAAAGAATGTTAGGGACATGGCAGAAGTTGCTGTAAGTGAGAAGGATTACCAACACGATTTCTATGTATGTTTTCTATTTCCATGACAAACATTGCCCCAAACAAGAGAGCAGTGGTAGCTGACAGATTAAGTCAAGGCAGATCCTGAAGGAAAGATCTCTTTTTAGGGAAGAGGTGGCATTTTAACAACTGTCAGGTCAAGGAATTTCATTGGGAAGGTGACAATCTAAATTGCTGAAGAGTCCAAAGGTAGCAAGGTAGTGAGCTAAGGGGAGCAACAAGATGGCTGGAGCATGAATAGGCATGTTAATGAAGTTAAGAGTAAAATGGCTGCTAAATAAAATAATAAAGTACACATTCTCTTATTTAAGTCAGCAATTGTATTGGAAGATAGCAAATATTATACTTCTACTTATAAAAAGCCTCAATAATAACCTGGAGAATTACAGACCAGTAAGGCTTACTTCAGCTCTTGGCAACTTTACTGATAGGATGATTAAAAATACAGTTATAAAAAAATTCCAGAAACACAGTTTGATGATATGGTAGGGAAAAATTGCACAAATTTTGTAAAGGAATATTGTACCTTACTAATTCTTTGAATGTATAAATGGTACATTAGATGAATGAAAGACAGTTGATAAAGTACATTTGTGTATGTAATCACTGCTACATCTGAAAGTGACAGTTTAGGAAACAAAACCACATAGATTCCCTAAAAAGGTGGCAAGAGGAGGTAGAAGACTAAAATTCATGTCTTCCTTCTGAGTCAGTGCAGAAGACAGGTTTGATCTTACATTCTCTGTATTCAAAATAGCTGTTCAAATTGGTGAATTTCGGAGATCCCAAGAAGTGAATTTTTTCTTCCCTTTGTTCTGATAGGATTTATAATCCCTGGCAGAATGCCTGTCTCAGCTGAATTGATGCCTAAACCCCACCCATTTCCTCTGTTTCACTGCTGACTTGCTTAGTGGTGTCACATTCAGCCAGCTTTGGGAATCTCTTTAGCTGCATATTAATTGCATGCAAGTGTGCCATTAAGCATCAAGGTATGTCTGAGGTAGGCATAGTAATGCTTTAGCATTTTTGATGTTCTGAGCAATGTAGTACTCTGAGAAAGTAATATTCTGTGTGGATAAAAGAGTACAAAGCAGAAAAAAAAATAGTTCCTCAGGGTAAAAAGTAACCTTTGAAGTACCTCAGGTTCCCATATATGGGTAGAATTTGGTCTATTTATTAATAATTTGGAAAATGGAAGACCAGTGAGGATTAAATTCTACATATGCTCCCAAATAATTTAATTAAGGTCGAAGAAATATGAACAAACTTCAGGAGGAGCTAACAAAGCTGTCTGCAATGTTGCCACAATGGTGGGATAAAATCAGAGTTGCTTTAAAGTGGCAATCCTTAAATGCCAAAAGAATACTATCACACTTTCAATGGCTTTTAAAAATGGGTGTGCAATGACAGAACATCTCAAATGAGTGTGCAGATGATATAATCAGAAGAATTCAGAATAAATTTATGAATGAAATGACTAGTAGTGAAAGCATGCACTTTCTTCTCATCAGGCTTTTAATGTATGAATTATAGTACTATTTGATATGCTCCTGTGTGCTGTCCACAATCTCCTTTTCACGGCTTAGCAGAACTCCATGGAAACCACAAGAATTTGGTTTGGGATCTCTTGGCCTAAGAAAAGCACTACATATTGAAGGGCACAATTTTAACTATTTTTACTTCTTAATGGTTTTTAAAACCTGAGTATCACTGCTCTTTGCTCAGTGAAGTGCCTCAGTTACTAGTGCCTGGAGCTGAACTCAGGCTGCCTGTCTGCCTACCCACGGGCTTCAGCAGTTCTCTGCCAAAGGTCTGCCTGCCTAATGGTTTCAACCTTTTTTGATTTGTAGTACCTTGAGAAATTCCTTGTAGAGTTGCAGGCTCTGAGTAATAAGTGCAAGTGTTCTGATATTAGGCTTGCTTTCCTTTTTTGTTGTTTTTAAATGACCACTTGCAGATCCCAGGAGTAGTCCATAGGGATCCAGGAATCCTTCAGTGATAAGTACCAAAAAAAAAGCCCTCCAGTTCAATAATGGTTTTTAAAGGAGCCTTTAGTTGAAAACTCTGATGATTAAGATTAGAACAATTGTACCTAAGCACATGCTGAAGTGTATTTTGCATTTCATGCTGTACCTATTTTCAGCATCCCTACTTTATGTTTTCCAATTTAAATGCAGGCCCTTTGTTTTCGCTGCAGTTGAAAGGGAAGACATTCTGAAGTAATTAGAACATTACTGCTCTTTTCAGCATTAGTGTTCCCTTTATTCTTACAGTTAAAAAATATAAAAAAAATCAAATTAATGGACTTCAGAGACTTGGTTGGTGCATGGGCCTGGAGAAGCAGCAGGGAAGCAATATACTTAATGTGGCGAAAGGTGAGATAGCAAACTTTTGTGTACCCTATGTACCATGTATTAATCTCCTCATAACTGCTTTCACATTTGAACCTTCTGTCTCTTATGTGAGATCCAGCAATCTTTGCTTTTTCTGTTCTGGGAGCAATTTTCCAAATCATTAATTTTCAGTGGCCAGGCTTCAATTAGCTTAATCAGGCATTGATTAGATTTCTCAGGTCCCTGGCATTTATTTTCCACCTTGCCTATATGGTTCCTTGACTCCATTACCTGATTGTTCACTTATTGCTTATAAGGTTGATTCCTCTCCATTAACATTCCCTGATGAGAGGTCTCTTTAGCCTTCCAGCTAGCCACTTTCATTAGTGATGGTGGCAATTCATGGTAAGGGCCAGTTTCTACTGCCCTTTCAAAGCAAGATATTTTCTTCTAAGTAGTGTTAATTCTTCAGCAATCTATTCTTAGATGAGATGAAGGTGATGCTTATAAACAATTCTGACTCAAAGAGAAAACACTTTATTTGGAATATACTTCATACTTTGTTTAAAAAGTTGTGAAATCGTAGGAAATGAATGAAGTGATGGTTTTTCAAAGCATACTTCATGGAAGTTTAGCTTTTTTTTAACCTCTGCTTTTCTCGGTGTCTAGCTTGATGTATTAAAATGCATTTTCATAGCCAGCACTCGTGATGTGAGGGAGTTTGATGTGGTTTTATAATCAAGGGTGATGTGAGGCACATGTAGACTCCATGTCTCCTTAGACTGCATTCCCTGTAGACTCCATGCCCTGTTCCTAGATACCAGTTGCTCAGCAGTAAAAACTTGGGTGCAGACTCATGCCTCATGATGCATGTTTTTGAGGAGGTGTGAGCAGCAAGAGAGGTGAAGGATGAAGTTGAAAGTGAGGGACTGGACGGAGCTGGAAATTGGGACTTCAGGTGGATTTTTCTAGGTTGAAAAGCACTTTCTTCTCTCTAAATCCAGTAGGGTCTAACACTGTTTGTGGTCAGATCTGTTCATTATGCTTTGTTTTTGCAGACAATGCGTTCTGAAGGCACAGACCTCTTTTTTAAATTCTTTTTTTAAATCATGTTTGCACTAGCTTGGATGAGGTAGACCTGAATGTAAATGTGCCAAAACTGATAGCGGGGAAATTCTGATAGCACAGAGTTTCATTTTCCAGGACTTTGTTTACTATCTATGAATTAAAAACTCTAATAAAAAGTTATCTTAATAACAAAATATAGTTTCTGATTAAAAAATATGGAATCAGATCTTCAAACATATTTTTTTCTATGGCTTCTTGGAGTTGGGAGAGTTGCCAACATTTCCAAGTTTTTTTTTTGTAATTAAACCAAAGTTGCTTAACTTCTGTTTTGATCAGTCAACATTTCTGAAAAAACGATGTTTTGCCAGGAAGCTCCTAACCCACTCTAATTTTCACACACATATAATTAAATATATGACTTGTCTTCTCTGAATCCTAGGACATATACATGCCTTCTAATTTAAATAATAATGGATAAAAAAGTATCATCTCAAGATTTAGTATTTGGTGGTTTGTTTTATTTTTTCAGATTGTTCTGAGAAATACTTTGAGCACTAGTTTCAGGTTTTGTTCAAAAATGCTAGTACAAGAAATGTGTAAAAAACACTTTTCATGATCACTTTTTTTCTTACTAGTTAGGTGGAACAGTGATTAGGTTCAATGTGAGACTGTTCTGAAGCTCATTTTCTCTTTTTTGTACTCATTGTTTTAAAGATCTATTGTAAATTGCTGGATTCTTTATTCATTTTGTTGTTTATGCTTTGTGACGTTATGATGTTCCCCCTAACTGTAGTCACTCATGTGAGATGTGTAAAATATGGCTTTTGAAAATAAGTTTTCTGTCTTGAAATTATTCTAAATTGATCTTTTAGGGGACTGCAATTTCAAATATACGAGAAACGTTCTTTGGCTTTCTTAACTCCCCCCCACTGCTATTTTGAATCTTCCCCTCCCGTTTGAATCAGAGGTCCCCTTCAGCAAAGAAATTTTTATGTCTAAAGCTATCTTTCTGTAGAAACCATGGTCTTCTGTGATGAAAAAAAAACCTTTGAAAACATCTGATGGTTCATCTCTGCAATTAGTGATTTTCAATTACTATATACAGAATGGCAAGGAGCATTAACATATAACTAGCTCAGAAGTCCCATACAGTGTCATCACTCTTTCGGTTTTGGTCATTAGCTGTCACAGGTTTCTGGACTTATTGGAGACATTTGGGAGCACCATGAGTTTGGACTGTTGTCTTTTCTGACTAGTGAAGGCCATTGCCGACTCATTGTATTGCTTAGGCAGTTAATAACGCTCTATGAAGAACTACTAGGAAGTGGTATTTTGTTACGCACAGAGGCAATAATGTGGGGCTCATGTTGCTCCAGAATCAATGGCACAACTCTAACAAACTTGCCAGCTGTCCCATTTTCAGTTTTGCAGCTAGAGGTTATTGATAGAGTATGGGTAAATGGCCTGTTCAACAGTGATTCTTTTAGGCCTAACTTTACCTTGTTCACTCAGCTGAACCATCTTAGTGTATAGCAGATGTGAAAATGGTTGCCCTGAGATGCTTTTCCTTCCTTCTTGGATGGTCCCAAAGGGCACTCTTAGGTGCTATACTTCAGTATTCTTCTATAGGGGTATTTTAAGAATTTATTTAGAAATCCCTCAACTCCAACATATGCATAAAATAAGATGCTGGATTTAGGGGAGAAGTTATAGGTCTTGGTGGAAGGTACTTGTTAAGACACTTTTCCTAGCTCTGACTAGTCAGAAAGCTGGTGTGGCACATGTTCCCACATTTTTGTTTTTCCTGCTAATAAAACAAATATGCCCATGTATTTCAGATCCCCACCTTGCAAAAAGCTGTGTGTCCTTTTTACCTTCTGCGTGGTCCATGGAAATATTCCTCTATGAAGCATTATCTTGAGATCTCAAAATTGAACTTAGAAATGTGGCTTGAATTTATTTAAGTGGGTTCTTAAGGAAGTCCTGTGATATCCTTATGCTGACAGCTCAAAGCTTCTGACTAAAGGTGAAGTTATTGGTTTTAATTAGAGCTGATCTGGATAAAAGGAACAAGATCACAATAAAATTCTCATAAAAGTTAATTTCCATTTTTCATCAAAGCTTTCTTTCCACTGAAATTTCCTTAGAGGCAGAGATTAGATCTATCTAAATTTAGGCGCTTAACTAAGTTGCCACAAACCAGAGCTTAGTTTTCCTAGATTTTCTCTGCACTCAAGGGAGAAAGAGAGACAGGAAAATCCAGAAGGATTTTAAGTCTGGTTTATGTAGGCTGGGTTGGACATAGAAGCAATGTGTTTTCCTCCATTGACTATACAGGACAGATAACAACAGCTGTGTAATTTTGCAGCTTGAGAAAATAAGCTTAGATGAATTGCAGACATGTAGAAGGAGGAATCTGGAACTAAGCATCTTCACTGCAATGTGAATGATGTGGCTCAATGTCCAGTTGTCCCGTATGGTCTGCCTCAGGGAATGTACTGGTGTAGGGTAGGGAGGTAGTGATTGAGGATCAAAGTGAGCCATTGTCCCCCCAAAGCTGTATACTGCATAAATGAACCAGGAAATATTTATGACTGTTTAGCAAACCTGCTTCTGCTAGAGAGTCTTAGCTGTTGCTGAAAGGCTTAATCTAAACTTCAAAGAGTTAGCTGTGGAGAATTTTATTCCTTAATAGATTATTCTTTCAAGAAAGTAAGACTAAAAGCCAAGAACTGGTCAAAACCCTAGTACCTCTTTCCTCCTAAACATTCTGAAGTAGCTTGAACACAAGACTTACAGCTGAAATTCAGCTTTGTATAAAACAAGATGTTTACAGTATTAGTTCTTTGTGTATGTTTGTTCTTATTTTGTCTTTCTAAAAAATAACACATGAGCATTGTAACTTTGGGGATTAATGCTCTGAATTAAAATTATTGCATACCTTATTAACTGCTCAGCTTATGTGATGATTAGAAGTAAACCATATATTCTTGCTAAAAGTGAAAATAAATATCGTACATTTTGTTCAGGATCTAAATGGAAATAAATTATTGGTTTTAAATGGTGAAGAGTAGTGTTATATATTTATTTTATATTTATATATACACACACATAGAGAAAATACATTATGATAGGATTTTTTTCAGTATGAATTGGGGTCAGCAACACTATTAATGATTAAAATACAGTGGGTCATCTCACACTGGTATGAATAGTACTATTATATCACAGCACTTTCTTAATGAAATAAGATCCATGTATTGTGCCAACAGAAAAATTATTTTCAAAGTAGTTACATTATAAAAATTGAAAAAAAAAATAATTCTGCTTGTAAACTCTGTTAGTTTCCACCTGTATATTTATCCAAGGCCTTGGAGGCAGACACAAAAAAAAATCCTGAAAATAAATTTAAAATATAGAGAGTTTGAAATTTGATATTTCAAGAAGTTTTAAGAGCTAGATGTAAGAACAAAGACCTGTTGGGAAAGGAGTGGTTTTTCCTCTTAGTTACCTTTTCTGATTTACAATGCTGGAAATATTTCAGGCTTTAAGTTATGATTTTTATTAATACAAAAATCTCTCTGGGATAGATTTTGTCTGCCTTTGTCTTTAGGAGTAATCTGGGGAGGAAGATAAGCAAAGATTTCTGGAACATCTTACGACCCTGAAATATTAAACTAAGTCCCAGAGAGCAGGATTAATATGCAGAGGTCAAAGATGCTTGATAAAGTTATTTTTTATACAGTTAATTTCTCACATGGCTCATACTGAATGTGCTGTTTTGCCATGTCACTCCACAATGACAGCTGGGTAAATTTATTGGATGGCAAGCACAGGAATTTCTGCAGATGGACGAAATCTTTTTCCTGGCCAATTGATTTAAAAAGAAAATGGTTTGTCAATGTGCAAATGCTTCTGAAGGAAAAAGGGTAAAGGAATGAATTAGAGGTCAGTAGTATAGTCGTAAGTGAATCACATAAACCTATATGTGTGCTTAGGCTGTGCAGACCTGACTGAGTATTCATTGTTCTCATGAATATTATGCTGGACTGTGATTTTCTGAGGATTATTGGAAAATGTTGATTCAGTGAAACTGAACCTTTTTATAGACATATTTAGTTTCACCTGTATTTGGCTGGGAATGTTTTCAGGTATTAGGAGAGAATTTGGATGGCAGGAGAATACCAACCTTTCCCCTGGAATAATGCACTGGCTGAGGCACCCAGTGTGACATGAGAAAGTGCAGAGCCACCTGCCCTGGTGGGTATCCTTGAATCCCCACGTTTGCTTTTGGTCCTATATTTAAGGTCCTTCACTTAAGAGAGTATTATTTAAGAAATAAGTGTCTACATACATTCTCTGAGTGTGTTGCTTCTTCCTTTTGACTTCTCATTTTGTTTTCTTCTCATACTTTTGGCTTCTGCCATAAAGCCTCTGGAGCTGAGGCACCCTCCTTTTCCAGTATCCCTATTTTCCCTAAAACTTCTGATTCAAATCACTCCTAAACTCAGCCTTTCCTTCTTTTTTCTCTCACCTTACTTGCAGTTATCTATCTCCTCACACTGCTCTCCTATGTTGTAGAGATGAGAGTTCCAGTTTTGTAGCTGGGTCTTAGCCCTTGCATTATTCTTCCAGAGGTGCTCTTTTAAAACATCCGTAAAGTTTTAAAGGTTTAAAGACCAAACTTGAGAGGAAGATCTCATAAGGGTGCAAGAGATTTTCCTGTTCTCTACTTTACTCCATTTTTATTTCTTGAAATGTTTTTTCTGTTTGCAGCTTTGCTCCATGAACAGCAGCCAGCAGCTCCTGGGGCCTGTTTATCCAGTCGCCCCTATTCTTACACATTTTGGGTGGAATAAAACAGACTCCAGATACCATCAGCTCCTGCTGTTGGGCAAAAGCCTGACTAATGTTATTTTGATAAAAAATAAAAGCCACTTCCCCCCCCCCCCCCCCCCCCCCCCCAAGGGATTCTGTATTTATTTTATGCTTTTAAATTGAATAGAAAGAATTCATCATTTCATTTAGCATCTCCTCCTCCTAGCTGGTCTTTGGAAGACTGGAAAAGGTGGGGTGTACTGGAGAACCCCTTTATTTACATTGCCAATTCCCCATGCTTGTCTTCCCCCCTAAGCACACAGAGGCAAGCAACAGTCTATCTGCAGCCCTGTTACCACCGCGAGCAAATACAGCTTTTTGTTTAACTGTATAATTGCTCTCTTGGTGGGTTTATTTCTCCCCCTGTCTCAATTTGTTTTCTTAATAACTAAATGGTTCTTTTCTTTTGTCTTTTCATATTTTTTGTTTTTTAATTTTTAAAAAGCACACTGGGTGTAACAAGATACTCGGCTACAAACATTAATCATATTAAAACTAATTAAAAACTGAAAAGTTTCTGTGCATTCCAAGCACTGGGGGTAGGAGGGGGCGGGGAGGGCTTTGGTTTGAGCACTCGTTTCCTGAGCGCAAGTAAATGCCTGACACATGGACTTCGCTGAATTCCAAAATGTAACAAAACAGTGCCTGCATATTTGGCAGGAACCACCACCAGTTCAGGTCAGTGTCTGTTTCAGCAAAAGATGAAGGCCTGCATGTTAACAGAGGAAAACGGGAGGAACAACATGTGACATTTTGTAATTGCAGCACTTCTGTTACCCAAGGAGCACCACTCTGCTCCCGCTCTGTAAACACTTCCTCCTATGCAACTGCCTTTGAACACATTTTTTAAGGGGGGAGGCAGAGGGAGGGGTGAGGAGGAGGTCAGGGCTTTCAAGCTGTTTGGATATGAATGAGCTATCTCGTATTCTCCCCCCCCCTCCCCTTTTATTTTCTTACTTCTTCTTTTTAACTGTTGGCTGCAATAAATGTTTTAAGGAGACACCAGTGAATCTGTGGCCAGAAGGACGTGCAAGCAGTGCTACAGGACACTGAACCCCAAAGCAGTGGGAACCCAGAAAGGCAAAGGGGCAAGACTGCGGGAAAAAGGGCAAGAGATGGGGCTCTGCCCAATGCAAGGGGGACCAGCTGGGAAGGATGTGCAACCCCCTGAAGCCCCAGCACCTCATCTTGCTTCCACTTTGCTGCTCCATTAGCCTGCGCTGTGACTCTTGGCCACTGGTCCCAAGTATCAGGGTGGGAGAACCCTCATCCATTCAGGGGCACAGCCTGACCCCAGTTAATGTAGGACCAAACCCATCTTTTAAGCCTTTCCCTGTAAAAGCAAGAGTAGGTCATTATGATTTAAAATACTGTTTTGGGCATTGTCTTACTTCTTTCCTGAATTTTGTCACCTTAAGCTGCCTTTGTTGTTGAGAATTTCTTCAGAGATGGGGCTGGATCACTTGTTATTGTAACACTTATTGGTGATAAAGTTCAGTCTAAAAATTAAGCAGCTGCAATGTTGCAGCACAAATTAGTTTAATGTAAGCAGTCAGGAGCAGCTGTTTGGCTCGGGACTCTGGTTCCGCGGTGGGGGAAGGGCCCTGTGATGCTGACAGTGTTTTTTTCTCTACATAAACATTTTCGGCTGTTGCAGCTTTTGTGCCGATCATGTGACAGTGTCCCTAGGCAGATAATTTATTTCTGTAGCTTTCATGAGCAATCATTAACCTTCAGACACTGAGCTTGCTTTCTGCTTTGTGGCATTTGTTGGTTTTTTTTTGTATCCTAACTAGTTTAATTCACAGAGTGTCAGGAGAAAATTACAACCAATTTATAATAGACTGTAATGCATAATACTTATGTTTCTATTAAAACAGACCTTGCTTACAAGACCATTCTTATGGCTTAGCTTGTGTTCATGGATCAGAATAATTATTTTCAGTGATGTAAGTGCAGCTGTCATCATGATACTCCCATAGTGTCTTATTCTGAATGCAGAGCCCTTCAGAGTCCTGATTTGGGACCACCCTTTTGAATTCCCCCTTTGCCAGAGACACTGCAGAGTTTATTGAGATGCAACAGGCTTGGGAGAAAGGGCATAGCATTTATTCTGGCAATTGCTATTCTCCCACCATGACCAGCTGCTGAACAGGTATTGACCGCTGCAGAAAGTGCGTCTAGAAGAGAGGCGAAGCATTACTGATCACAATTACAGCTCAAATCTGCACTAACTTAGTCTGGGGTTTCAAAGCCGACTTAGCAGATAGGACTGGATCACAAAGCAGTTATGAATGTTAGAAAAAGACTTTATTTTCATTCCTGTCCATTTTGTTACAGCAAGGGAAACAATAAATTAAGTGACTTTGTCAAGGTCACTGAAGAAATAAATGTCAGGATAGGAATTTCCCCTTCCCCGATCCTTTTCCCCAAGTCCTGTGCTCTTGTATAGGGGAGGTGACAAAGGAGTGAAAAATACAGAGTCTTGGGCAAAAGAACTAAAAAATACGCAATAAAAAGAGGGAAGGAGAAATCATAAAAAGAGCTGAAAGCCTGGATGACTGCCGGCTTACTGTGAATATAATTTTCCTTCAGATCTGAATGTGATTTTTGCTTTTGTTCACTGCCTTCCTGCCCTATCTTAATTCCTTTTCCTAACTGGTCATTCACTAGCACTAGGAAGTTCATCTTTTTTGTATCAGAGAGCAAGATATTACATTCATATATGCTTGTGAATAGGTGTAATCTAGATATACATATTCCTTACTTTATTTTTCATACCTTGTGTCACAGTGGAATCAGACATTTATGATAGAAGTGCTACCAATGTAATGTTGCAGATACAATGGACATGCCAGACACAGGGTGGATGGGAAGAGAGATGGAGAAATAAAAAGATTTTTCCAATGCCCCAAGGAGGAAAAGGGGTATTATCATAATCTGGGCAATGGAAGAGTGGTAACATACAGATATCTCAACAACTGCTCTACCCGCTTAGGACTCAAACAATACTTTGGCTATCCTGTAGTTGCTCATTAACTTATGAAAAAGGCATGTAACTGAAAGAAGACCAAAACACACAATCTGATATGCGACAACAGTGCTACACACTGTACAATCTTGTAAAGTAGAAAAATGGGTGGACAGATTTTGCTGTCATTGTCAGGAAAAACATTTCCTTTCTGATTAGTTAAAAATAATAGTCTGAAATTGGTAGTTTAGTGATGCTAGGTTTCTGTGTGGAAAGATGAATGAAAGAGTAGCTCACTGTTTGAAACCTTCATCTTTCAAAATGTTTAATGAAAATGAAAGCACAACATATGGTAAATGTGGACTGAAATCGGGGATGAAAAACCAGAAGCCTGGGATGCTCACTGAAGGGCAAATGGGACTACAGAGGGACTTGGTGTTGGGTTACATATAGAAGTGAGTAACATTTTTGGAGGCATTAGAGTGATTTAGGAGCCATCATCCCATTGACTTTTGACTAGAGTCAGGATGTAACTGCCTAAGTCAATTCTAAAAATGGGAATTAGATTTCTAAGTCATTTTAAGGTGCTTTTGAAATTTTTACCCCTAATCTCAGGGTGATTAATTTGTAACAAGGTGATTAATTCGTATCTTTCTTGTCTTCAGAAGCCTGAATGACACATTTGAGATGCACTCTAAAAGCACAGGTAATAGTCGGAGCCCTACCTCAGCTACTTTAAAAGACAATTGATTAATTTGAATTCATGCTTTTCCTCACACATTTAAAGGATTCTGAAAGTAGTAATAGCGCTTTGGAGCTGCTTGGTTTGAAATGTCACTTCCATGCCCTTGCCTTCATTAGGATTTTCCTTTCCTCTACCTTCCCTGGCAAAAATTGTCCCTATCCCTCCCCATTGCTAACAGCAATGCAGCCCCTCTGGTCACAGCAAAATCAGGAGGTCTAAGGTATTATCTACTTTGCTGCACAGAATGGCTGAGTAGCTTTAAACAAAACAGTGTCCAGGAACCTCCTGTGAGCTTGTCTCTACTAGGCTGCGCTGGCAGCTACAGGTACTTTTGCTGGAGCTGGCCCACAGTTAGCAATGCTGGGAGAAAGGGCTGCTCAGCCAGTTAATAAACCAAGCCTTTCTTATAGTAAATTCAAGCACCTAACCTGCTAGTTTGTCTGAAGATAAAGTAAGACTGATCACTTTGGTATTTCACCAGATTTTGTTAGAATCTCGCTAAGAACTTACTGTAGTGTTTTACGAACTTATTTTTTTTTTGTTATTACTGTCTTGAAGTTGATCTACTGCTGAAAAGCTGGAACTGTAGTAGGACTTGTATAGATTTGGTCAAGACATTATATATATCTATATATACTACTGTCTTACGTCAGCAACGTTATTACAAAGATCAGTTTCCATTGCTCTTGTGAGCCTCTGTGTTTTAGGGTGTAACTGATGATACAAAATCCTTTCTGGAGTAAAATGAAGACTGCCAAGCCTATCTATGGGACTTCTCGAAAACATTAGCTCTTACCAAAAATAGCACACATCAGAAACTCATCTAAATATTTGACTTGACTGTACTTTCAGAATTGAAGGATCACAACAACTTTACTCTTTCTTGCCCCCTGATACAGCCACAACCAAACAGGCTTCTTAAATTAACTTAGAAGGCAACGGTTGGTATTAACTTTACTGTTTGGAGCAAGGAAGCCTGTTTTGCTTGAATGTCTTCAAGGAGAAAAATAGAGTACAGGGACTAAATGCAATACAGGTTTGATTTATGGACTAATATCTCCAACTTTTGACTGTGGAAATTATTTTGTGGAATGATTTGTTTCATGCAGTTTCAAAATAGTCTCCCTGAAGGCTACAGAGTCACCTAAGTTTTCTGTGTTGCAGGCTGGAGAGAATCATAGTCCCAGGGAGCCCTCACACACCTTCTGGTGTGTCAGCAGTCTTGACCACTACACATCTTTTGGTGTAAAGACCCCCAAAAATTCCTAAGGAAAAGAGGGGACATCTGAGTAATAGGGGAAACATGCTTCTAAGAACATCTTCTAAAGTTCCCTACCCT